ATTTGGTCGAAATGCCATCCTGTTGATCCCATAAAATCTCTCGTGCTGGTGTTTCGATTTTTACGGCTGCTGAAAAAAACATGGATCAAATACTAATAATTTTGCTCGGGTTTTAATTAAATTTTAATCTTTTTTCACTCCGCCGACCACAGATCCCCTCTCTTTTTCGAAATTTTATCCTGAAATTTCTTCTTTATCACCATTTTTCACTTTTTTTCTTCCAATTCATTACAAGGGAAATACAACTAATAAAAAAAATTTCTAAAAGATCATAAGAAATTCTTACCCATTGGTTGATTTCGTCGTGGCGCAACAGCACACAATAACTCGATTGCCCGTGGATTCGAAATCCAGCCATACATACGACGGAATGCTTCCTTGCCCTTATCAGTGAGTTTCTCCCAGTTTCTCGGTTTTGACAGTAATTCACTCAACGATCCTTGTGACTGTAAAAAAAAAGAAAAATATTTACTCACAAAAAAAGTAGTGTAAAAATTCAAAAAAAAAAAAACTTCGAAGTTGCTTTTCAAAGTGATTTTCCTTATTCCTTTGTTGTATTATTATCATATTATTCAATGTAACCAATATTGCTAAGACAGTTGGCAAAAACTAGGCTGGTCTTATGGCGAGGATGAGAGACAACAGATGGGCAAGGTGAATACTAGACAGTATTGGTGCAATGTCAAAAGAACCTAAGAAAAGCTGCCACGGCGATGGGACGCTCCGAAGAACGACTATTGGGGAATATGGGGATGAAAAAGACTCAAATGGCGACAAATGAAAAGCGTTTTTTTTTAAACCCAATTTTCTCATTACTTCCATGTTTAGTCACGAAAGCCCATCATCCCAAATCGTTTTTACTTGCGGTTTTAATTTCGTATTTCTCTTACAATTTTTGAAAAATCGTGACTAAGAAAAGGCAAAATTTTGGAATAAATATACAAAAAACAAAAAATAAGCACTTTCGATATCACCTTGACTACCTGGTTCATGACGTACTTCGCGAACAATCTCT